CCTAGCTTACAAATCCGCAGTATTCTAGCACAGTCATCCTATGTACAGCCTCTTCATATCTATGTTCTACAGTATCGAGTCTATCGAACCGTTGGTTCGCGATAGGGAAGCTCGACGCCGCGCTCCAGGCGCGACTCGGGCACGGGAACGATCCCCGAGGCAAGCCCGACGCGAAGCGCAGCTGCGCAGCGCTGCACCGTTCGTCGCGTTCATCCTCCGCCTATCACCATCCGCGTTGGGTCGGCGAGCTTCGCTCGCCTCTTTGCCAGCTGACACACAGGATCTTACAAAATCCCTACAAACATCATCGACACCGATGTCACCAACTCCATTACCAAACCGCCAGTGTGGATTCTCCCAGTGAAGAAGCGTAGCATTCTGCGTCTCCGCAATCTTTACATGTGATGTTAGCCAAGAACAAGAGTCTAATGTTTGGACAATCGCACCTGCAGGCACTCGCACACCTTTAGCGCAACTAAATACGCGAGACGGCGCACGGTGACGTTCCCGCGCGCCTTCGACGCGCGAGGCCGTATCTGCCGCTCGTAAGGCTTGTAGTTGAGGAGCTGCAAGGATCGTCAGTTACAAACTGAGCGAACAATAAGTGTATCGCCCACTCACGTTGAGAACAACCTTAAGCGAGTACGCCGAGATCCGAGTCAGGCTTGCAGGGAGGCTAGCGTAGTGGTCACCCGCATTCAAAGGTACGCCCACCCCTCCATCCGAGCTTCGGAAGAAGATGGGTAGCATGTCTGTATTCTGCGAAACGCTCTCGCTCCGTTGCAATCCGGCGTATGGGCGGAAGAGTCGGGTGGGGATGATGTGAGAGGGACGGACGGCGATGATGTCGACGGTGCAATACGGCACGACAGTCCCGTCATGCAGCTGGATTTCGGTCGTGTCCGCGTCGTCCACAATAAGCTCTGGATATGCGTAGAGCAGAACCGGCCAACCGGGAGTCTGTGGCAGCCCAAGAGCTTGGTCGATCCACGTTATGTCGAGGTGCGCACGAACGGGATGAGTGAGCCGCTTGAAACGATCGAGAGCGTCCGGGGGACTGAAGGAGCGCGCGATGATACCACCAGATAGACGGTCGAGGAGGAGGATGTCGCGTGGTTCAAGTACCGAGGACATAAGCGACCGGGCTAGGAAGAGGTGAGTTGGTCGCTCTGCAACGGTGAAACCGTTGCTCTTCTACAGTGTTCAGAGTCGGCCTTTATGCGCATTGCTGTACGAGTCCCTGGCGCCTGACGCCAAGTTCACAGTCCCGTTGACAGAAGGGCGAGATGCTGCAACTTCCACCTGTGGCCATGATCTGCGGGACCGGATTGGGATGTGCGAGTTGCTTTCGGCGTCGCGGCAGCTACAAGCAGGCGCGCCTACACCGGGGATCAGTCGTCGGTCCCGGGCCGTTCTCTTGTGATAGGCTATTGCATCCACGTTTTATCCCAGGCTCACACACGAATGGCTGACAGGATGGAAATCTTACAGTACACAAGCGCGCGCTCCGACTCTGGCCGCCGTCGCGCTCATGGGATTGCGCATCGTCCGGGGCCCGCGCTACGCTGGCTCCAGCTTGCGCTTCTCGATCCATGCCCCCGACTTGGATCCCATCCAAAATTTCATGTTTGATGCTGCCATCCTGTGACGTACTGTATCTAGACCTCTTGTAGATGATAGAGTCGGGACTCGAGTTGCCGACGATCCGTATGTCCCGAGGGTCACAACGAGCAGAGTGGAAGTGAGCTGACGAGGCGCTCAGTATCTAGCGGAGAGCCACCTGAGATGTCGCAGATGAGTGTTGGCGATACATAGATGACAGCAGAACGAATCATAGATCGTCGGCGTCCTAAGGTAGCGGACAAGCAAACCCGACTGTGACCGCACCCAATGGCGATGTGACCTAGTTGTCACCACTCTCCTCCCCCAGTGCCGAACTCGCCGGTAGGCCCGCACACGCGAGGGAGTACGGAGGGACTGTTCCGGGAGGGGTGTCACTCAGCTGCGGTTACAGGCCGTAAATTTTGCCTGTCCGCCACCTTATGTAAGCAAAATCGGGATCGTTTCGGATTTCAATTCGGATCCTAACGACCTGAAGTCGAACCATCACGTGAGTGGTACAGAAGTCAAACCTGCAGTGTACGGCATCTGCCTGCGTCTTCCTTGTGGAGATGTTACAAGAGAACGTGGTATTCTAGTACAGCCCCTCCGGGGCGCTACTGGGGCTCTCTTATGTGGAGGCCAGTTCTTTCGAGGTGTTAGAAGAACGAGTTGTTTTTAGGAGGAGATTGGGATGTTCCGCTTCACTACGACACGCCCGGTGAATCGAACCTCGCCCCTTTGATCCGGGAAGCCTGCAGACTTGTACAACGGCGCGAGACGGGATTGAACGGCCGAATCTATTCAGATTTCAGGCCCAGGTTTGCTCATCGAGCAACTTCTCAGCGAAGCGTCGGCGTTCGTGGACTCATATGAGAGGTAGTAGTAGACGGCCCGTCTCGCAGCACTTCCGGGTTTATCCGAATCCTGCCTTGGAGTTCCGGCCGCAGTCTCGTTCCTACAATATAGGAAAGAACGCAAATCCATTCTGTGCTCGATGCATCACATCAGCTACAAATATGAAGCGCTTATATCCGTAGGGCCACTGCCAGAGCGGTCGATTACGATAAATTATAACAACAGTCCTTCGTAGAGAAATTAAGATCCCTCCTCGTCGACGTCGGACACATCATCGACATCGGACATCTCCTCGTCGGAAATGGGAACGAGACCCGGCAAATCGGTGTAACCGGTCGATTCCGCGTCAGAGTCAGAGTCCGATCCGCTTCCTTCCCTGTCCACATCACCGGTTATGTACCTGCAGTTCGGCATGTTGAGAAGGCATTCATGAAATATCAAAGTTGAAATGCACAGACCGACTGACAACCGACCATGCGCGGACCTTGTCATCCTGCCACGTTCGCATATTGACAAGAAGGCCTGTGGACATACTGCAAGCGAAGACCAGCATCTCCCCGCGCCATCTAAAGCCGAGTTTTTCTTCGACGGCAGTAGAAAACTGATAACCGTCGCGATTGTATGGCACCAGAACGAGGTACTTGCGCCCGTTCGGCAAAGTTACGTAGGCCGTGCGAGCTCTGTCTTCCCAGAACTGGCGCCAAAGGACCATGGTCTTTCCGTCGTCTACGTTGAAATGGACGACGTTGACATGCGTCCAATGGGCAGCGCCGTCGCTCGGGACGTGGAACACGACAAGGTTGGTAGAGAACTGTCGGAACGAGGTCATTGTTACTCGACACGCGCATGATCATGCCAACATACCATAGTCGAATCCCAGCCGGCTTCGCGCCTGCGCAAGGTACGGGGTAAGATTGGTTTATTCGCATTGGATTCAGAGAGAGAGGGGTACTGGATATTGGCCATTGGGGTGAGAGTGGGATGGGTCGATGATTGAGACGGTCGTCGCCTTGAGGTTCTTATACAACCGAGTTCAGGCACCACGCGAGCAGATCAAGTCACCGGCGTTCGGGACACAAAACACCAGACTTATTCGAATTGCATACATGTGGCGCGAGGAATAACGTTTACGAGCTCAGTATGCGAAGCAGAGTACGCTCAGCAAATTCTGCCTCCGCCGACACCCCACTCTTGTGGTAATACCACAAGGTTTTAGCCACCTCGTCTGCGTCCACACCCGTCTTCAAGCAATCCCACTTGTGTGCCGGACAGTCTTTGACTATTACTACCTGTCCTTTGGGAGTGGCTTGGCCGCATACTATAGCGGCAACCGTGTTCGTTGGACCGTCGCAGGATTCGCACGCGTAGACCGAATAGTACCAGTCAAAAATGGACGGATCGCGATCGTAGAAGGATGCAACCCGTTTGTAGCGGGGTGTGTTGAGTAGCTCCGCGAGCTCGTCTTTCAAAAAGTGCTTGTGATCGTCGACGGCCAAGCATGCGCCATCCAAGTGCTCGCGTAGATTCTCGCGACTCTGCAGTGGGTCGCAGCTGTATCCGAGATCCTCGGTAGTGAATACCGACATCGTGTTGACCTCGGTGGGGATCTGCGGGGGTTGCGTCAGCTCTGTCCTCACTTCGAGCTGGTTTCAACTGTGACTAACCTGGTATGCCGCCATATTTGTTATGAGAGAACTACAGCGGCACATAATGATGCCTTTTATACCAGTTTCCCGCGTTATGCGGCTGCGAGGCGGCGTATCGGGCGAGCGGTATGACGCCATAGCAACAGCAAGGCGACGTAGGAGGTATATCAGCCCGACGTACGGGTGACATAGGCGGTACATACGGCCGACGTACAGGTGCTGTAGGGCGTATGTCGAGGGTACATCGCACCTATGTCAAGGGTACATCGCACCCATGTAAGGCTTGTTGCACGCCGTACAGCACGCCTGCCTGATGGCCATCATGATAGAAGCAGATGGGCGGCGTAGACCAACCGATGATTGCAAGAGCCAAGCAGACTTTCCACTCAGTGCGCGATCAACGGTGGGAACCCTGACTAAGCGGTGGGAACGCCTTACAGCGTCGGGATGCGACTCGTTTGCAACGCCTACACGCTGGCTTCATACGCTCTACATGCAGGATATGCGACCCGGGTCTATACCTCACAAATGACTCGTGCAGTCACCGGGTGCCTAGTCATGCCAACTATTTGGCGATATAGAGTGGCAATCCCGAAGGTCATCGGCGGTTGACCCTCTCCGCCGTTTCTTATCGCACAGGCAATATCGACATGGCTGTCATGGGTATGTTCCACAACACTCGCTGTTCCGGCAATGCGCTAATGAATACCAGAATCAGATATTCGATTGAGCGGACTGGTTCAGGAGGGACTGTCGTGTAACTGGCGCCCTAGAACGTATGTTTACTTCAAAGGTCCTGTATAACTCTTGCTGAACAGATCTGCAGCAAGGAAGAATTCCAGAGGACACACGCTTGCACTACCGCTATGCTCGATGTCTTAACGCGTATCTCGTACCAACAAGGCGGGAAGGCTGGACCCAGACTTCCGCCCGGTGTTCTCGAGCACATATTCTCCTTCGCCATCGCTCGCGGCGGACACCACGTTCGAGTCAAGCTACGGAACACGTCCAGGAAATTCCGCTGCATTGTCTTTGCATCCCAGCTACTTTGGTCGGATGTAACCACTCTGCCCACATATCCTACATCGTTCATGGTGGCGCGGTCGCGATCCTGGTGGACCAATACGCCTCTGAGACTCCATCTTGACAATTCCAACCTTCCAAACCCCGCCGCCGCGCGACCAAGGACCATACCTCACACGTCGCTTCTTCTTTCCAGTCTCGGATACATCCGGTCCATCATCGTGGAACACAAGTTTGCGAGCTCCTACTTCCTTCGCGTTCTCAACCGTCAGTGCTTTTTCCCCGAGCTCGAGAGGCTTGTGTTATCCAGCGCGGAATCCGAGTCGTGGGGGTCGTTGCCTCTCATCTTCGACCATACATTCGAGCATAGCGTCCCCGCTATCGATGCTCCTGCATTGCGCCGCGTGCGCTTATGTTCAGTCCCGATGTTCCTCGAACAGTCCCACAACATCACCGATCTTCGATTGTGCGGCAGGACTCGCGGTTCTAGTTTTCAGGCGCGCGTGTGGAACCAGTGGCCTGTCCGCATGGTACACGACTTGCTGTCACACAACACCTCGTTGACGGTACTCCATCTGGTCGAGACGCTATGTGCAAACACCATCGAGGATTGGATGTCGTCCGTCAGCTTGCCGTTATTGGAGGTGTTGATAGTGTGCAGTCCTTCTCCGGTAGAGCCGATATGGGTTCTGGACACAATCGACTTCCCGGACACCACTTACATCGGGATCCATCTCGGTCATAAAGCGCCGCACGCTTTCTCTCTGGATGAGTTCTACTATACGTTGGGTAAGTGATCCATCATACTCTTTCATTGACCATTATCTGATTCCCATAAGGTGTATTACTCAGGCGGCGAAAATTCACCGCGGTGACCGCGGTATCATCCCTGTCTCTAAGCGGTATACTCCTGAGTGATGGACCCCGCCATGCCATGCCTCTGCCGCGTTTTGACGACACGGAGATGTATCTCCATACAAACGAGATAAGCCATGTCTTCTACGATATGGCCCCGGGTGCAGTCGATGTGACAGCCTCTTACGAAACGAGTTGGGTACCCCTGGAAGTGAGTGTAGTCAACTATTGACGGAATCTTGCTTGCGTACTGACAGCCGCGCAGAATACGTGGCACGCTATATACACCGGCCTGTCTCCGCATCTGAAAGAGCATGAAATTGTTACCATGGAGGTGAATCCCTACACGCTCCTGATTAGCATTCGGTGTTCGCTCACACATGCATCCAGATAAACGCAGAGTACGCGATGCTCATGAACCAGTCGCTGCTCACAGCGTCGCGCTTCGATATGCCCATCGAGGAACTGCGCTTATGGAGCCTACAATCAAACCAATGCGTCTGGTGCGCCTTGGTTAGAGCGCTGCACGATTGGACGGCCGTCACGATCGACTTGCCTTCCGAGGAAGAATCGATGTCCGACGCCGTTGACGACATCTCTAATGCCGATGAGACGGATGTAGAAAGTGCAACCGCGGACGACCAGGCGTCCGAGGAGTCGTTCGCGAGGGAGCCGTCTGTAGACAGGAGCCGTCTAGAAATAGCGACTGTCAACGATATCAACGAGGTGATGCAATCGTTGTACCCGGACGTGCGACGCATTGTAGACTGTAGAAATGGGTACACCTGGGCACGTAGACACACCGTGGACCTTTTAGAGGACGTGCATCGCGAATGTCAGATATCTCATCGATGATCCTCAGCGTTCAATATATATTTTTACCTTGATCGCGCGCGAAGCAGGCCGAATTCATGAGTACGGACTCTTCTTCAAATCGATTAGTGCTGCCTACCGAGCATCTGCGACACGAGGCATAGGCGACACTAATCGCGTGCAACAATGTACACTTACCTCGCTCACACTGTAAATGGGGGCCGAGGACGGCTCAGTAACGAGCCACGTAGGTATCATAAACACAGTTGAGTAGAGCATGTCTGTCGTAATCCGCGTTGATCCGTCGGGATAGTCAGCCCACGGTTTGGATGGCTGTTTGCTGGCAGACGCGTACGTTGTCTTGCACCATCACCTCCACGTCAATTACTCCAACACTACCATTTTTCGCCAATGAAGCGTTCGGCACCTCAGTCTAGTACTCCGCGCAAAGTGCGGATAGTCGAGAACACTCTTCGTGCGTATTCTGTCTGCACTAGGTCTTCTCCGCGCTGAGCGACTGGCCATTAGCAACCGTCAGAAGCGCGTCCTCGTCGGCGCGCCCATTGCGCTGGCCCCAGCCGCGCCCATCCACCTACGACACTTTTTTCGATGCACTGCACGCGTATGGTGCGCATATATCACTCTACATCGTTCATATGGTATTCAGCTGACGCTCAATTTCGCAGAGCATCCGCTAGTCACGACTATGCGCAACACTCTTGACGCGCTGAAGCCTGACCGCCCAACCGTCACACAAATGGCCACATCGATGAGCACGTCGGCCGGTCCGTCTACGTACGATGCATTCTTTACCGACTATTCTACCAACCGTACGTGTTCTCAGTCTCATTCTGTTGGAGCCATGCATGTTCAGATTATATGCATAGAGCACCCAGTCGTGCAAGACGCTCGGTTGCAACTTGGTTTATCGCCAATAGTTGCCCCGACTTGCAATCCTTTCGTCCCGACGCCCTATCAGCCTGTTCGAGGAGGGCTGCCGCACCCACCAGGTCTGCCTCGGTTTGCACCGGACCCTGTCCCTACCGAGAGTTTACCGTCGCTGGACTATCGCGGTGCGTGCTACGCATCTATATGCAGACGAACCATCACTGATTGTACTACTGCGATCTCATTTCGATTCGTGGAATCCGGTTCCTTCTCTCTCGTGGTGATCGACGCTCTCATATTTATTCTGCCTCGTACGCACCTCATGTACCTTCCTCGGCGCTTATGTCGTCGTGTCCGATGTTTACATCGCCGTATATTCGCTACATATACTTGACCTTGTGTCTGGTATACTTGCGCCGTTATCGATATCTTGCGTGTTGAAATCATTATACCACCCGCATCAACTGTGGCGGATGCTGCATTAGGTCATATCCACGATGTAGTGCGAGAATGGGTGCCTAACGTCGCAGCTGGAGGGCCCCATATAGTATCCATTGACATGCTCAAGCGATGGTTCCGGTTTGTCGGCAGTGTCAGGACCCTTCAGGAGGTTGACCCTCTTGTGACGGGGACCAATTTCATGATACGCGCGCCAGTGTTAATGGTCAGCAGCTCTTCGCTCGCGCTGCTTTGCGAATCGTTCCATATGTTCTCGAGGGCTCACTTGTCCTCTTTGCTCCAGAGGCATCGTATGCGCATCACATCACTGACTAATGCCGAGGCGTTGCGTCAGCTGCGCGCTCACCTGAACGATTGCAATTGCATCCCGGACATCTATATATTCGCCGAGCTAGGATCCCAGCGTCGTGTCGAGCGCCGAGTCTCTCGTAGGGCGGATACTCGTTCTCTTGCCACGCGTAAGACTGCACGATCTTCCCGGCCGGTACCCGTGCCACTGCATGCTGACGATTTACCGATGCCGTTCCTTCAAGACCCTGACGTTCATCCAGACCTTTTCCCCGAGCAATACGATGAGAATCTTCGAAACAAGATTATATATGAGTGGCAATGCATGATGCAACCAGTCCAATGGGAGAGGGAGACGTGTGCGGTGTGCGGGCAGCAGCACTTCAAGGACGTGCTCCTGGTGCGCGACGTTCTAGACGAAGAGCTGGAGTTATTACAGGACCACTCTCTACCGCCAGAGTTGAGACCCGTGGACTATGATCTGAGCTCGTATCGATATGCTCTTCTACATCCTGCTGGCATCGTTATCCGCCGCCAAAGGGGGGTACTGCGACTGTGCAAGAGTTGTTCCGCGTCTCTGAAACGCCGAAAGATGCCAAAGGACGCGCTTGCCAATAAACTCTACTATGCACATGATAGGTTACCGCCTACGGTGAAAGAAGCCTTTCAGAATTCTAGCCTTGCTGACAAGATGTATACAGCTGGCTGTCGCATGACTCGTATCACATTCCTCATAGAGAATCCCGATGAGTCGAAGAAGCACATGCCTGCCCAAGGGATGAACAGAGGACATTGTGCGTTCATTCCTCAAGATTCGGGGACCCTATCTTGCATGCTACCTCCTGCGCCAGATGATCCCTCGCTAGGTATCTGTGTTCTATTCGTTGGACAGGGAGTTCCGCCTACCAAGGAGACCATCTCAACTATATTGCGTCCTTTGATATGCAATCTCTCCATTGTCAAGGTGATCTCGCAGTTTCTTGCTACATCGAACCGTGCTTACATAGAGAGAAACATTGTATACAGTGAAGACAATCTGAAGGATATCGGCTCTGCTTTTCCAGGTAGCGTTCTCGGGTTACCTCGTAACGTGCAAGTGAGCGTGCTTGACTCTGAGTCTGCCTCCACCGTACATCGTTCTATGCAAGGCGGATATTCAAACGTCGACCGAGCAGAGCTCATCATCCCTGCCAATGAAGTCTTTATCCAAAACGTTGGGTATGCAAGTGACTCTCAAAGCTCCAAGGCATCGACCGCCGCAAAGGCACTCGCGCTTGATTGGGTGCTAAACAAGAAACCTTTCGTTCAAGTTACCGACGGTACAAAACTATTCTCGGACCGACACCCAGACGCATTGACGTTGACACACCCGCATCTTGATCCCTATTCCCTCGGAGGGTTCTTGCACGAAGAACGTACTGGACACAGACACTTATCTATGCAACGGCAGCTCAGGAACATGATTCTCATGAAGGACGCACCGTTTGCCGCGGACCCCAACTTCGCCTACGTCTTCTTCAATGCTATACAGCGTACTCAGACATCAACTGCGGCTACATTCAAGGTAGCAGAAGAGCAATACGCGTCGTTCGCCGATACACTACTGGAGAATCGAGGTATGCTTGAAGTACTGGAAGCGAAATACCGTACAAATCCGGACGCAGAACCTACTACATCCGGTGAACGCAAGTTGGTCAATGCAATGAACCAACTTCGCGTAATGTGCAAGGACGTCATGGGATCTAACGCCTCTCGTACCAGAATGCGTACCAAGGTGAAAGCTCTTCTCAAGTCATTTGGATGCCCAACTCTCTTTGTTACGTTGAATCCCACTGACGTACTGTCTAAACAACTGCATGTGCTGTGTGGTGGAAAGGCCGACGAATTTGCGCGTCTGAGTGACTACGAGCGCACGAAGCAAGTTGTCGAGCATCCCGCAGAAACGGCTATCTGGTTCGATCTAATCATAAAGTTGTTCATTAAGATAATACTGCGTCACGGCTCAGACGAACCTGGCCTTTTTGGGACATCTGAAGCTTACTTTGGATCGGTTGAAGCGCAGGGTCGTGGTTCGCTGCATTGCCATATGTTACTCTGGTGTAAAGGAGGTTTATCTCCGCAAGACGTACGCGATAAGATGGACTCCAATCCGGCCTTTCGCGATCGGATGTTTGGGTGGTTGGAGTGCATTATCAAGTGTGAGTTGCCCGGGATGACAGAGGTCCTCAGGGAACCGCCCGGACAACAGCTGAAGAATCCGATGCGCTACACGGAAGGTAGGCCTGAGCTCGATGTTCCGCCGATCATACCTAATCCAGAACAGATGTCACTGGAAGAGAGAGAGCTGTTTCAAGAGCGATTCCAGAATTTCGTTCATGATCTGGCGTGTGCTTTCAATTGGCATAAGCACCATCCGACTTGCTGGAAGTACTTGAAGCCTGGTCAGCCAAAGACTGATGCGAACTGCAGGATGCGCATAGACGGTAGTACCCAACCTATAACCGGTCTGGACGAGGAGACCGGCTCCATCTTGCTGCGGCGCCTGCATCCATGGATCAATAACTTCAACGATGTCGTACTCTTTCTGCTTCAGAGCAATATGGACGTCAAATACATAGGGTCCGGTCAGGCCGCAAAGGCACTAGTGTACTACATAACAGATTATATCACCAAGGGTACCTTACCTATGCACATTGGTCTAGCAGCGGTCATTTCGGCTATCAAGAAAATGTCCGATCCTACGGCGGCGATGGATGATTCGATGGACGAATCCACCGCGACAAGTGTACAACGGCGCAGATTCCTCATCAAATGTGTGAATGCTATGATGGGTCGACTCGAACTCTCGCATCAACAGGTGATGAGCTATCTCGTAGGCGGTGGAGACTGTTACAGTAGTCATCAGTTCGCATCTCTATACTGGGGAGACATGAGCAAGTTCCATCCAAAGGCCACTGGTTGAAGTGGGCCGATGGTCGGCAGGAACGAGTCATCCCTGACATCAGTTAACATCTATTCAATGCCCAGCAACACATTTTCCCTTGTGTAAGTTGACGGCTTCAAGATTGGAACTTTCAAGTGCTCCTCCTTGTGCGGATGTGAGCTCAATGAGAACTGACTGTGTAAGTTCTCGGTGTATGCGCCTGCAATAAATTTCCCATCGGCCACAGCCTTAGAGATGTTCATGCCTCACCTTATCAATGTCTGATTCTGTTACTTTTGCTACACTTTTTACTGAATACCTTTTGCCAGCTTTTGTACCTCTGTCACTTAGCTTGCGCTGTTTCACTACTTATCCTGTATCATATTTTGCTATCTATCTCAGGTTCCCCTGGTTGCTTCAACCCAGTCTAGGAGCTCTCGCTCTAGTTCCAGTGTAGTGCCCTCGCACCTGAGACATTGTTTTCTTTGTCTGTTGCTGGATGTTTTTGCCTTCAGAGCCAGTCATATGCATCACAAGCCACCTGCCTAAGTACCGCGAATCAGTTGAGCTGTACATCTCATGCGGACTGTCAAAAGCGTGTCTCGCAGAGGTATGTTACTTCACCAGAGTACAGCGACATGGATGAGTATTTCTATAGCCATAGCTTGCTATGACCAGTCAAATCTAGTATTGATCTCCAAAGTAATGTCACCAAATGCTGATCCCCATATGTATGATTTAGTTGTGGTTAGTAGGCATCGTGGCCGAGTGGATGTATTCGTTGCTTCATGCTTGGTACATCTGTGCGCGGGTTCGATTCCCGCTCTGCTCAATCCATCCAGCCAGCCATTTTGACCTCAATATCCAGCCTGGTACTATATTTTGTCAAGTCTAATGCATGTTAGATCAGGCTTGTTAGTATACATCAGGGAAACGCCCCCCTACTTAGGGCCACTCAGGGGCACTTAGGGGTGAATTCGGCCCGGTTATCTCTCAGGCGCGCTCAGGCGCGCTCAGGCGTCGCTCAGCGCTCAGGTGCCACTCAGGCGCTGCTAAGGGCCTGCTCAGAGAGATTAGTTTGAGTGGTGTTGAAGTCGATAAATATGAAATATACGTACTGATTGTTAGTGTTTCTTCAATAATTTCCCCAAATAAGATGTATTCGAATCATGGCAGTGCTCAGGATGAAGGGAAACGATAGCATTCATTGTCGTAGTACAAACAAAGTGAAATAAAACCGTAAAGTATACAAGAGGATC